TGTGTCTTTACATCAAGGATAGATTTTTCCTTGAATCTTGTGCCTTTGTATTCAACCGTGTCTAAAAACACAGTCAAAACTTGCAAGAGGTGACAGGCCGCACATCTTCACCGGCGTGAAACCTTTGAGAACCTTTTTTATATTGCTCCATTTCAACCATGATATAGCTTATATATAGCGGACCAAGACACGGCTCGGTACAGTTTATGTTCAGCAAGGGAAAATTATGTAAGTTGAGCAGAACCTTTAAAATGTACAACAGACAATTTATTCAGTTCGCGCGTATTCCTGTTGAATTTGTGGCCCGTTTATGAGATTTGTCTACTCAAAATATAATAATTTTTCCATAGCGGCTGTTATCTTAGGGTATCTGCTTTTAATATCTTTGTAAAGTTTAGGTTTACGCGATCTCAGAGAACAATGTTCAGCTGTACACAGCACGTCCTTAAATATATCCACATCTGACACTGGTTTTGTGTATTTATCACGTCTTTAGCAGAAGCATGATTTAAATACATTATGATGCTGTGTTCTTTGAATGTCGTTTTAAAACTCAATCGCTTTGTAAATGTGACTTGTAGGTTTAATATCAGAGGAGAGTATTTCAAGCTCAATATTTTTCAATACCATTAGCATGTTGTTTTTTTACCAATCAATTGACTGGCTTCTTTGTGCCACTACATAATGTCTGCAGTTAAACTAAGGGCCAAGTCGCACTAGAGGGCAATTTTAGATTTGTTCTAGACAAATCCGACTTGAAATCGGCCAGTGACAAAAAATTTGTCCGGAAAGCTACAGTCGCACTTCAGAACAAAATCTGTGAACAAAACACAACACCATGCTGTGAGCACCTTGTGATTTCCCGCGATTTCCCGCGAAGCTGCCTTTACTCGCTGTTTACATCCACAAAACCGCGACACGAGGGATCTAAAAAAATGTTACCACGGAGAATTCTCGCAGTGATTGTTTTCTACTTTTTTCTGGTTCTTCAGCAGCAGGCAAATATCAATTTAATGATATGGTGCCTGTTATTTATGCAGAATTTACGAACACAAAACTTGTTATTGACACGACGAATTCGCCATCGACAAAATCGTTATCGAAGAAGAGCACCATATTATTGGACTCTTCCTCGTCCAGTCGAATTGTGGTTCGAGATCCATTACACTGATCGGACAATACCAGGGGACTACTTCCGAAGGCTTTTACGAATGAACAGAGAAAGCTTCGATTTGTTGCTCAACGTAATTCGCAACCGGCTGACAAGACAGAATACAATACTGCGAAATTGTCTCACTCCGGAAAAGGTTCTTGCTTGTGGTTTGCTTCGACTTGCACATGGAAATTCGTACGAAACAATAGAACCTGCGCTAAACGTCGGTAGAACTACAGCAACAGAGGCTTGTCAAGATGTCGTCGAAGCTCTTTATGAAATGAGGAACGAGTACATTAAATTCCCAACAACGGTGGCTGAGACAATGAGGTGTATAGAGACATTTACGGACAAATCACGACTTCCAAACATTGTTGGAGCCATAGATGGGACCCATATCAAAATAATTTCTCCCAGAGACAGTGCTGTTGATTATTTTAGTCGAAATCAGCAACATGATTTTATAATTCAAGCCGTTTCTGACGGTAAGGGATTATTCCTTGACTTTGCTGCAGGTTATCCAGGAAGTCTTCACGACGCTAGGGTATATCGAAACAGCTCTCTTTATCAAAGAGCAAGCAACGAAGACATACTCAGAGAACCGGTTGAAAGAATCGGTATTACAGATATTCGCCCTTACCTGGTAGGAGACAACGCATACTCTATTTCCCCATGGCTTATGAAGCCTTATCCAGAAGCCACGCGTGACCCTGGCGAGATAACTTTTAACAAGGAACTGTCATCTCCACGAGTAGCCATCGAGTGCGCTTTTGGCAGCCTCAAAAGTCGTTGGCGAATTCTACAAAAGCGGTTGGATAGCAGAATAACTTTCTCGGTGAAGATTTCCATTGCTTGTGCAGTGCTGCATAACTTTTGCATTAATGTTGGGGACGAATGGGAGGATGATTTCTACGATTACGATGATGACCGCGGAAACGAACAGAACAATGACTTCATGCAGGACGGGGAAGATATAAGAGAGTTGCTAAAAGACAGTCTCTGTTTTTTTTTTTTTTTTCAAACGGGTTTTAATTGTTTCATCCTTAGACCTTGAACGTTTGCTGTGTTTGATTTTTCACAAAGAAAATAGAAGAAAATCAACGATCAAATACTATGAAAAATATTGCATTGTAATTTGTGCTTGACATGTATGTTGAATCATTAGAAACGATTTCCATTACTGTATAAATATTTTCAGCAGTTAAATAGCTATTGTTATTGTTCAAAAGTGTATCATAAGGATTATTTTCTGTCTTCACAATAAAAAAAATCAGTTAAAACTACTTTCATTTGTTTCCATAATTCCGTTTCATCTATTCGTAACATAAACAATGAACATGATGATGGTTGTCTCTCAAGAGTCAAAAATAGTCTTGAATTAAAGTTCATTTCTCATTCTGTTCCTTGTCAAGGATTTTCACAATTGATCCCATAAACTGACTCATTATGGCAAGCTGCTGCGTGTGTGTTTGTTGCAAAGAATCCAAGAAGCTTGCTACTTTCTCCCCCTGCTGCCTCACATCCTTTAGAGCCTCATCGTCGCTCTCATTATCAGGCGCTTTGCGTTTCGAAGCTCGTTTCCCTTTCTTCGATGCTCGTATCCTTTCAGCTGGAGTTTCTGGGAAGCTGGGGCTGGATGAAGTACTAATCTCGCCAGTAGTATCACTAGGTCCCGCACTAATTTCCGTGGCACTTTGGCAGACAAAAGGTCACAAAACTGGAGATCAATGATTGCAATTTGCTTTGGCATCTATCTTTCTTTTACGATGAGTAGTATGCTGCGTGTTCACGGACTGCGGGTTATACATAATAAACATTTTGAACCAACGCTTTTATTTAGCAACATTCGCCTGATTCTATTTGAGGTCCGCGACCTTCAATACATTCAATACAATATGGAACTACGCTACATTTTAATTCTGGCAATGACCAGAAAGACAACGCTTGAGTCGTAGGCCACGGGCGATTATTCTGAACTCGTGAGCTCACAGGTAGCCCAGGCTCTGTGATAGTACCACAGTACGGTTCCAGTAAAATTACAGTGTTTGTATGGGGTAAAAATATCATCCTAAAATTTCTAGGAAATACTAAATAAAGATCAATGAAACTTACTCTGCAGTTAATTGTTGTTGTCCTTATTGCTCCAACGAAGTTTCGTGATAATTTGCAGTAATTTGTTCAAATTCACTCTATCTACAATAATAATATACAAGGTAGGAAACACGAGGTGCCATTTTCGACGACATGCTCTCATTCAACACAACTTTTTCCACGAAATTCGAACTCCAACGGAAAATAAACATGCCAGGATCGTAGAAATAGGATAGCAGCACATATAGAAACCAATGAAGCTTTCCCAGATAGAGAAACGAATCCCACAGACTTGGACAAACTCGAAGAATATAATCCAAACACACCGAGAATACGCTCGCCGAAGCAGCCGGGCCAGATCAACGCGCGGCCAAGAAAATGAGGCCTGGGCACTGTACAAAAAAATTCCATCCCGGGAGTCCTGGGGTGACCTTTCTAGGGACCGATACATCATTTGCCCAAAGCCACCCTCCCCTGCTGGAAAAATACTTGATAGAAGGCAATTGTTCTTCCTAGCCAATCACAATTCGCCAGAGCAAACCCCGCACACGCGCCTAAATTTAAATGGCTAAAAAAATAAATATAACTAGGAGACTCCGTGCCGAGTTACAAGGCACCCCATTTTGATAGAAATGTCGCTATCAAGGAAGAAACGTCCTTTTCCTGCTGGAGACTTAGAACCTGGTCCTGTAGAAAAAAAAAGTCCAAACTTCTATTCCTCCTTGAAAGCTTGGTAAGTAAACCGAGGTTGCATTTAGTCGCCTTCGCGTTCGGAAATGGTCACATACATTCAGCTGAGTGAGACAAAATCTGAATGCGATGTTTTTAAAATGTCATTATATGTTTTCCAGGATTCTGAAAAACTATGAAAGGAGCGAGAAAAGCGATACAGTATTGGTCGACGAAATCAAAGAAGGAGTTGTACATGAAGATTTTACGGGACTTCAGAGTCGTCTGTTAGTATTGTTATATATGTCAGCCGAGCAATCGCCGAACTCTTCGAAATGAAGAGCGTCAGAAAGCGCTTGAAGATGGGTGATAAAAAGGTGCGTACTAGAGTATTCCAGGGCCTCAGAAAAAGAACTGAAACTCTGACGCAAACGAAAGCCGACACTTGGAGCCATATGTACACAAATGCTCAGCAGCTCGCCAAACCCGGGTGGAGTGTTGTCAAGCATACGCCAGACTCGATGAGCTTCGTTCGCGTTGAAAATGTCCGCTTTGACAATCAGAGTGTGATTACTGACATTAACCTGCGCAAAGAATCTGGCAAAATCATCACCAACATCACTTACCAGAAGCGGCAAATGCCCAGGGGGGATATCGATTCCATGGAGAAAATATTTCATGCAGAGTCCATACAGGCCAAAATAAAACTTTGGATGGACTACATTGATAGAAGTTATGTCTGCCAGGGTTTCGTAGTGAAAGAAACAGACGAGGTTCATGGGGACCCAGTATCAAAGCACTCTGTTACATACGCTGAGGATGGTATCGAAGAAACACAGATGAGAGGGTTTTCTTCTAATTGCAAACTCCTGTCCAACAGTAAAGGGAATGCTGTTCCATCTGCAGCAAAACTAAGGATAATCTTAGAAGAAAACACTCTCGTCAGGAAGAATGCAAGGATAGACCCCTTATTCCACAGAGCTGCAACCACAAGTACATGTCAAGGGAGCAGCTCCTCTTTAAAGTCGAACATCTACAGAAACTGCGAACAGCAGAGAATAAGAAGAGAGAGAATATTCAGACCGAGATGCTAGAAGTTGACGTGGAAGACCATGAGGACTTGTTCAGCATTCTGAAAAATGTTGAGAAGAAAGACGTGCCTGATGACATGCTCCTGTTTTGGGAGGAACAAAAAAAGATTTTGGAAACACCAAACAACAGACGTTACAGATGGCATCCTAAGTAAGTAGCTAAGTAATCAGATGCACTATCACTGGTCATTTTTTAGAATATCTGATCATGATCCTTCATTTTCTCACCATGGGGGTCCAAATTGTGATTGGTTGCTTCCGAGGGCTTACACATTAGATGATCATCAGCATCCAGGTGACTTTTAAAATATGGAAATGACCTCTTCCCTTGCAAATTAATTGCAGGGTTAGAAAAAGATTCTGGTCACCTGGTTCCCTGTATAAACATGGACATGCATAGGAACAGAGGATAAATTAATTTCACATTGCTATTCTGAAATAAATAACTACATGAAATAAGTAGTTTCTTTAAGATGCATTGCAACATTTTCCTTTTTTTATTTTTAGAATCATGAAACTTTGTATTGAACTCTATGTCAAAAATCCGCATGTGCTTGACACACTTCGTGAGGTTATCTACCTGCCAAGTAATCGGGCAATAAGGTTAGTAAAAAGAAAGTGTGCAATAACAACTTCAATAGAGGACACATATTGCTTGCAACCCAGTGACAATTATGTTGATTTTTATATTTTATTTAATCTTTAAGATATCAAAAGAATAAGGGAGGACAACAGCCTGGCTGGAATGCCAACATGCTTAAGTTATGCATGGAAGAAGCAGAAAAGAATAACCTCAAGCCAGAGGATTACTGGGAGGGTTTGTCCTTGATGAGATGACAATCCAGGTAAGAGATACATTGTTATTTTTAAAAAGGAAGTCAACAATGTACCAGAAATAACATGTGATATTAATATATTTGAACTGAATTTTTGCCAGGAGGACATAGAGCTGGTCATCAAAGACGGCAAACACCACTTGAGCGGTTTTGTTGATCTGGGAAAGATCCACTCTGACATGGAAGCATTGTCAGGTGAACAATTTTCAATAATGCAGGTTACAATAAAATCATCAGTTTCTGAAGTCAATTCAAAAGTACATAGTTGTCCAAAAAGTCATCTACATGTTTTAGAAAGTAACAGAAAAAGTTATTCTTTAAAAAAAAAAAATTCTTCTTGCCAATCAGTAATGAGGGACTGTCCTATTTTGACTGCATCATTTTCTTCAGCCAAATACTAGGGAAAATAAAGAAAATGGTAGACATATACATGTACATTAAAATGAAATAATTATCATCAAGTGAAATGACATGCTTTCATTTAATGAATTGTAGGAAAGGCAGATGAACCTAAGATGGCAACACATGTCCTGCAATTTTACTTCCTGGGAGATAGTGGGTTCAGGTTTCCGATCGCACAGTTTCCATCTGGTGGCTGTACTGCTAGTACACTGTATTTTATTTTCTGGGAAGGAGTCAAAAAGATGCTTGAAACTGGATTTACGTAAATATCTTAATAACTGTATTATTTCATTACCAAATTATTTGTATGATCATTGATGTGTGATATTTCAGAGAATTTAATTATAGTGTGCAATCATTGGTCTCTTGTAAAGAAAGGAGGAGGTTAATGGTGGAGAAAAATTCCACTGAGCTACAAATCATTTTCTAAAGAAAGGTTGTTGTTGGATTCCTGTAGAACAGAGAGTGTATAATATTCATGTCTTGTTGATATCTCCTTGATTGCTAGGGTGTATTATTGTATACTTGATGGTGCAGAAGTGAACCGCCAATTCATTAAGCTGCACTTTGCTGATGTAACTGAAGCCATAAAAGACAAGTTTATGACCCCAAATATCTATAACGGCAATTGCCCCATGATTTTCATAATGGATCCCAAGGTAAAACTGTCACATCCATTCAAAATGTTATAAACCATTATTGGATGAGGATTTTGTGATATCTGGACTAATCAAGGATGAGGTAAGTGTTATCAGCCAAGCTGAAATCAAGGCGCCTGATAACACTTACTGAGACCAATGTATAATACTGAAAGTAGGTACCCCCCCTCTGTAGTCAACTATAAAAAGATAACTGTTACCAAAAGAGGAACATCTAATTATGGATTACTCTTTTAAATGATGAACAGAATGGCAATGCATGCTAATTGCTGGTTTGCACGTGACATCATATGGTGGCCGTGCATGCTTGTGGTGTGTTAGCATTAAGAACAAAAGCATTTCTCTCCTGTGGGAACTATACCCTATTTTCATTAACAGTCCTCGAGAAAAGTTATATTGTATTGACCACCAACACACCACCAACATAGCTGCCTTTTCATGTGGTTGAAAGCCAACAATCCACTTGGATCTGATTGTATGCCCACAGCACCCCAAATATATTATATATTCAACTTGCAATTGTAAATCATTTCCTTATTAAATTAATGCTGGCTTTTTGGAACAATATATTTTTTTCCATTTCAGCATAATATTAAGAAACTAAGAAATAATATTCTCAAGAGCTCACTTGAAAAGACAAGCGAATCAACTAAATGTCTTCAATGGAACAACAAGCCTATTGTATGGGAACACTTTATCAATGCCTTCCGCTATGATCAAGGGGAATTCTCAATGTCTCTTCATGAGAAGCTCAAAGCAGAACACTTTTACTTAAACCCCAGCAGCAAAATGAGGAATCACTTGGCAGAAGAGGTGCTTAACCAGAACATGTTAAGCTTAATGAAGGTTGGTAATGTCAACAATTGCAAACAACCTTGTAAAGAGTGATTGAGCGAAATAGACATTTTTATTGACTGATTAACTGTTCAGACAGTTACAGTGTACTATAGGTTACATTCTTCTATTACCAGTTATTATATGTGACTTGCAGAAATACCAGTAACAATATTTTCTGCAACGACATTTAAGCTACATAATAATATTAATATATGTAAAAATGCATCCCTCTGATCCTGAATTCAATTTGTATCTGACAACTTATAACAATAATATTAATTTATATGTATGTATGTACATGGAGCATTCCTTTAGAAACCACATGCTGCATATTTTAGCTGCCAATTTAGGAAGCTGCCTTTTTGAAACTCATACATAATGTTCTTAAGTAATAATTAAAGTCCTTTGTTTCTGTATAAACACTAGCTATTAAAGCATGCCACATCAAATTTGCTTTGTTACAGCAGTTCACTTTTCCATCTTTCTTTTAAATTTTTATTGTACATCCATTGACTTTTTCCTTTTCTAGGTGTAAATATATGATGTCGTACCGCAAGTACAGTTCATGTCCACAGGTAACAGCTACAGGTCACTATGCATCAGCTACAGATAAACATGCAGTACCAGCAAAAATCTTCTTTACCAAATCTCAGGAGAAACTACAGTACTATGTGTCATTTGTTATGAAAATCTATTGATGGAAAAGTGACTATGGTAATGTTTGGAGTGACCTGTGGATTGTGACCTGTACTTTAGTCTCAGCCTGGTATGTTTAGCCAAAATTTGGTAAATTACTTGGTCTAGCTACCCCTTAACCCTATACAAATATATTGAAATCCCAGCCTACTAAAAACTTTAACATTAAGAAATTTTGACCTACTTTAGGCATACAAGAGGCATCTAATGAGTACACCTGGGCAGGATGGAGAGAGCGTAGACTCAACTATACTGTTGCTGAGCCACAGCTCAAAGATGATCCAGCTGTTCAATGATAAACTCACCATTTCAAGCCTAAACGACGAAAGATTACAAGAACTGAGCTCCTTCCTAAATTTCCTGAGCCAGTGGAAGACTGCAAGTGGCGGGGATGGGAAGAAGTTTATCTCTGAGAAGCTGTACTTCGACTTGCAATCAATGATTTATGGTTTTCAAGGAATGGTTGCCACAAAGCTGAAAGCATTCAAAAATGCAACCATAAAACCTGCCATAATAAACCAGGATATAGTAGAGAACCATTTCTGCCAGGTACGCTCCTGTAATGGTCAGAATAACAACCCAACGTGGCGCCTTCAAGAGGCATGTCAAAGCTCTATAAGGCATGGACAGACCACCATAAGTCGTAAAAGCAATGCAGGAATGTTACGTGTTAAAAAGAAAGTCTGAGACTTTGATTGCAGTGTCTCACGGATAATAATTATTGGAATATTGTTGTAATTAATTGACTTACACACATTAAGCTTGTTATTAAAGCTAAGTCTTAAGGTGCAGTGATACAGCAACATTATTAGGAACAATTCAAATTTATACCTATGGAAACCCTTTTACTCAAGAGAACACTAACTTTACATAAAAAGAATTAGGACAGCTCCATGCAGTCTCAAGGTTAGCCAATTAAGTAACAGTGGTACCACTGCCACAAGTGGCTTTATACTCCTATCAGTGATAGCAATCAAAGACCAAAAACTACACTTTCATAGTGTGAAACAGAGTGGGCCTTTAAGACAAAATTAGCATTAAGTTCCTGCAAATAATATTTTTCTAAGGTCTTCCCAGGTGGGTCCCGTTTTACTACCTATTGTCTGATAAACCTGATGCGGATATGCTGGCTAGTGTCATCTATTTCAACCTGTGCAGTAAGATTATCCAGGCAATGATAATTTAGCATGGAGTCAGCCCTCCTCATGGCAGTAACAAGATCTTTTCCTATATCTGCCTTTGTACTCCTACTCCTGACTTCAAGTCCATAAGCCTCTGAAAGCTTAGTAAGCTCTACCTTTTTGTAAAGTTTGACAAACACTGCTTCGCCATAGGTATCTATGTATCCTAAGAGACGATTGTGACTTGTCACCTTCCCAGGACTTCTGTCTGCAGCAATTTCGTCCATCTTCACTTGAGCTTTTCGCACTTCAAGTTCCTTTTTTTTCTCTAGGACTCTTTTCCTGTGTTCAGCTCCCCTTTTGAGCCTATGAAGTAATTTTATATGTCTATTTTGGGCCATAAAAGATCAAGTTTATTCTATTCCCTGTCCACTTATTTCCCACTATTTAGGGATATTTATTCATTTATTAATTGCCAAATATGAAAATTATAATTCATCAATACAATATTTTCCTCATTAATGTAGTTACTATTGAATTACCAAGGAATCATAATTTTATTTATAGACATCATAGCTAGCCCCCTTCGTTCCACCCACGATATAAGTTACTCAACTAAAGGTTAAAGTTGCATTTAAATCAATTTTGACCTGTGGAATGTGTTTTGTAAAAAATACCTGCCGTTAGAAAAGAGACACGACAAAATTAATATTCATTCTTGGATAGGGACAAAAATACATGTAAGAAATTATGTGGAAGCTAAAATTTAAGTTACAGATTCCATATTTTTGGGTAAATACAAATGTAAAATAGAATTATGCGCAAATAAAGATCGTTTCATGCATCATGATCGTCTTTACAGCGTTTTCAAGCATGCCAACTCTTAGTTAATCTATCCTTTCCGTGACCACAACGGTTTAAAATGAATCATCAAAAAATGAATCATCGAAAAGTAAAATTTCTACCCCAAGTGAAAATAAATGTAGAGCTGTTTTTGCCGTCTGAGCATGCAACGCTCTTATATAATAATTATAGTTAGTCGCTAGCATTATGCAGACGGCCTCATTAGGTGAGCGTTTTAATTGTCTTTCACTTATTTGTCTTTTCATTACTTGGATCAACCTGTAGATAAATTTTCCCAAACATTTTCTTTTATTGTCTTTGTAAGCAAATTAACTTCCATTTATTGGGTTGGAAACTCAGAGTTCTCTTTAAAACGACTTCTTCGAGCTGTTAAAGCCGCTCGATCGAGCTCCAAAATTCTGCAAAACGAATTTGAAAAATAC